CTTCATGCTCAATCCCCAAAAGCTAGTATCTTTCGTAACTATAGTGAAATTATCAAAATCAGGACTAATACAGTTTGCTAATTTCCATACTGTATTTGTAAATTGTCAATTGTTCCAATAATGTCTTTTGTCTGGACTGTGATCCATTCTAGGATAAACATTCATTCAGTTATGTCTCCTTTAATCTGTGGTGTTTGTCAAATGGTGGTTTTTCTATTTCCAGCATTCTTTCTGCATTTTTCCTCTAAGAAAGAGATCAGCCTTCTCTTGTGTTTACACATTCAGTTATTTATTTTTAGCAATATGGACTCATAGATACTTGTTTTATCCTATGTGTTATAATCTGTTAATACAGTTATAAATTTTTGTTTTTATTTAGAATATTATATATATTATACACACACACACACACACACACACACACACACACACACACATATTTTTAGAGATGGGTCACTATGCCACCTAGGCTGGTCTCGAACTCCTGGGCCCAAGCATTCCTCCTACCTCAGCTTCCTAAAGTGCTGGGGGTGTGGCATGAGCCATTGTGCCTGGCCAGTTTTTAATTTTATTATTTAAATTGTCACAGATTTGGTCCCTTTGATTGGGTCTCACTTTCCTTTCAGTGAGTTCCCATCTTTTTTGAGCATTTTCTTACTTTTGGCACCATAAGATGTTCCAGGCTTATCTGATACTTTCCCTGCCCCAGTTTTGCTGCCAGGCATATCTCCTGCATCCTTTTATTGAAGGATGTTTAGAAACCAACCTCTGGGGTTAGTGTGCTCACTGCTCCTGGGATCTGAAAGAGGATAGAGCTAGGACATGCCTGTGTGTCTACACCTGCCTGCATCTGTCTCTGTGTGTCTGTCCGTCTGTGGAAATGCTTGTTAAAACCATGTGTTTGTAGTGCTGCCTCCAATTCAAGGTTGACATTGAACAGTTCATGCTGGCCTTTCCCCTTTCTTTGTTTTGTGTCTGGCCTCTATGCGAGTGGTGAAGAGATGCTGGTTTCTCGGATGGCTAGCTATTTTCCAGTGTGGTTATGTTACATATTTGTGATGCAGTTTAGTTGTTCCTGTTTGTATTTCCTTTTAGGTTCCTCCCACATACTGATTTTAATTCTTTGCATTTTTTATCTTATAAAACACTACCATGGTTCTAAATGTCAAAACTATGCAAAAAGATCTGTTTGGAGACCTGCGCCTTTCTCTCCATGCCTGTGCTCTACTCTCCTCCATGTCCAACCCCAGTGGCTCCAAGATGCCTGTGAGATAAAATTGAAACTTTCTATGCCCGACAAGTCCCTCTGTCATCTGAGTTTAGCCTGTCCTCGTATATTGGTCAATGAGTCCTGGTTGTTCCTCAGCTGTGGCTGCCTCCTTCCTGCCTCCCTACCCTATATGGTCTCTCCCTCTGCCTGGAATGATGCTCTGTTCCCTTCTTACCAGCTGCACTCAGCTGGTTTTCCCTCTTACTCTGTTGCTCTCTCCTATTCTGTCCTTCTTTTCACTTGAATTTCCCTCCTCTACATTTAATAATTCTCTCTTACTAATTTGCAGCTCCCTTAGCACTTGTACATGTTTTACAACTTTCATGTTGTTTAATCTAAGTTTTTGCTACATGGATTTGCCAACTTCTCTACAGCAGGGCCCTGATCTTTCATTTCCAGTGTTTAGTCCAGATTCTTTCTTACGCATGTCAGTTATGCAGTCTACCAAGTAGATTTCAGCTCTTTTCACTTAATTTTTCTGTGCTTCTTTTCTCATTTGACTCGTAATATAAGCCTAATGATGTGATGGTGTGATTTTGTTTTCTCTGACTTGTGCATAGTGCCTGCCCCTCCTGGTGTATTTGGACACCATCTTGGTAACCTAATGTCTTCCTGTGATCCTTGGAAAGTTTCAATATATAAGTAAGTTTTAAGTACAGTAAGGTTTAGTTTCCTGTGTTTTGTAGTGCCATGAAATCAAGGTATAGAGATTCTTGAAAATGTGTGCTTAGAAAGTCAGGACTGTGATCTGCCTGGTTTACTTATTCACTTGAAAAGCTGAGACTTCCTGCCCATTTAATCCATTAGATTGGAAGGAATTGTAGTCCTGGGAACAAATCCCTTTATCAGCTCTTAAGAGCCTTAAGAAGCTTTAAAGTTGTCTTTATTTTGTCCTAAAGGCAAGTTCAGTGGCCCTCCACGTTGTGGTTGCGGTGCTGAGCTGCTTCTGTCACTCTTCATCCTGTGTGGCTTACTCGGAGGCTGTAATAGCACAGGACCCACCCCAGTGCCTCTTGGCCCCCTTTTACTCAGCTTCTCCCACCTCTCTCTGCATGCTGAAGTCACCAGAGGGCCTCAAGTCCCATGGCAGACTTGGAGGAGGATGGTTGCCGTTTGAGCACACACTGGATGTGGGGCCTGAGCAGCTGCTGTGCCAGCATGTGCCATCCAGGGACAGTAAGCTGCCAGAATCTTCATATATGACAGTTATTAAATGTGTTCCTTTCTTATTCAGAATGAAGAGAAGTATGTCCATAGTGTACACCTTGGTGCTTGTTCCCAGACTGAATGTAGCCACAGGACTACCCCTCAGATCAGGACTCCAGTACCAGCAACCCTCTCATCCCCAGCCCTGCCTCCCCAACCCCTGCCAACCCTGCCGCCCCCGGCCCACCCCCAGAGTAATTCCTATGCAGACTCACATAGTTCTGCCTGCTTCTGAACTTTGTAACGTGGAACCATGCAGTCCACCTCCTTGTGCCTGGCGTCTTAGTTTCAGCATTCCGTTGTGAGAGCCATCTGTGTTGCTGTGTTAGTTAGGGTTCATTTATATCCACTGCTGTGCAGCAAGGACCACTATGGTCTGTGGATTGACTGTTTTGTAAATAAAGCTTATTGGTGTCTAGCCAAACCCATAAGTTCATGTGCTTTTGTGCTTCAGAGGCAGGGTTGGGCAGATGCGATGAAGGACAAAGACTTACAGCCTGCAGAACCTACAGTATTTACGGCTTGGCCCTTTTCAGGAGAAGTTGACTAATTTCTGCTGTATAGTACTCCATTGTGGGAAATTGTCACCACAATTTGTTGCTGGGTTTTACTGTCACAACTGATAGTTCTTGGCTGATTTTGTGACGCTGGGATTCATGTGAGCGCCCTCCTTGGAGACACTTCTAGGCATAGCGTTGTGGTTGCTGGGCATGTCTTGTTCTGCTTTGTGGGTTGCTGTTGAGCAGTTGCCCTGTCTACATCCCACCAGCACTGTGTGAGGGCTGATTGTTCCATATCCCAAGACGTGGTATTGTCACAGTCTTACATTTCAGCAATTTTGATTGCTGTGGAGTTTTATCTCACTATAGCTCCCTCCCCTCCTCTCCCCACCCCTGCCCTTCCCTCTCCTCCCCTCCCCTCTCCAGGCTATGGTGCAATGTTACGATCACAGCTCACCACAGCCGTGTCCTTCTGGACTCAGGCAATCCTCCTACCTCAGCCTCCCGAATAGCTGGAACCAAAAGCATGCACCACCATGTCCAGATACTTTTTAAATTTTTTGTAGGGAATGGGTCTTGATATGTTGCCTAGACTGGTCTCAAACTTCTGAGCTCACGTGAGCCTCCTACCTCAGCCTCCCCAGTATCTGGGACTATAGGCACATGCTACTATGCCTGGCTAATTTTTAATTATTGTTATTATTTTTTTGTAGAAATGAGGTCCTGCTTTGTTGCCCAGGATGGTCTCAAGCTCCTGGGCTCAAGAGATCCTGCCACCTTGGCCTCCCAAAGTGCTGGGATTCCAGGCATGAGCCACCATACTGCCTGTGGGTTTCATTGTATCTCCCTGGTAGGGAATGAGGTTGCACACCTGTTCACATGCTTGTTGGCCATGGGATGTCCTAGAAGGTGGCTTGTCTTTTCCTCCTGTTTTATAAGGAGTTCTTTATGTATTCCGAGCCCGCACTTTGGTGGATATATGTGTTGCAGATATTTTCTTCTGTTTTGAGGCTTCCACTTTCATTCTTTTTAGGGTTTATAATTTTTAAAAGTATTATTAACCATAACAAGTGCAGTGACTTGGCTGAATGTCCCAAGTCCTGAGGAAAGTGAAATTAGACACGGCATCTGTCCATACTGGGATAGTTACCCCCAGCCTTGTCACAGCCCCGAGAACAGCATTGTCTTGAAGCATAGTTGAATTTTATGTTTTCAGTGCCTCTTAACTACACTTGTCATTGGTTATGTTGTTACTTGTCCTGGGGTTTGGGCAGGGACAGAGTTCTTACCTTTTACTTTTGAGTATTAAAAGCAGTTCCAGGCCACAGTCTCTAGTTCTGTGAGTGTGTTGTCAGCATTCCACAGCATGGTGAATATTCGAAGATTTCATTAATGAAGATGGTGCAGTGTCAAGTATTTGAATCAGCTATTTGCATTTTTTTTCCTATTGAGAACTAACTCCTCAGATCCCAGAGTTTAGGAATTTAGACTTTGAAGCTGATTTATCTGGCTTAGAGTTACATTGGATTGAATAAACTTGTTATGTGTTGTAACAGGCAGACTCCATGGTTTTTGAGGTCTGCTTAATAATCATCTCTCTCTCTTTTTTTTTTTTAAACCAGGAGATAGAGGCTGCAGTGAGCTATGATCTCACCACTGCACTCCATCCTGGGCAGCAGAGCAAAATGCTATCTCTAAAAAAAATAAATTATTCTGTTTTTTCCCTTTTTGTGCTTTATTTTTATCATAACAGTCCAAGATAGTATTTCTTGATAAAAAATATATTTGTCTGTTTTGAGTTTTGATGGTCCGATGCACAGTAGATGCAGGTGACCTTGAAAATACCTAGAGGTAGCCTAATGCTGCAGTGCCTCTCTCAGGTCTGGCTCAAGGGCAGTGCTCACCTTAGAAAGGATGGTTCTTCTCTTTGAGAACAGAGACAAGACTTCTGTGAAAACTATGCAACTAGTGTTCTTAGTGAAATTTCTTATGTACTTTAACAATTTATTTCTAACTTTTTTCAGGTGATGCCTTGCTAGTGCGGTTGCTGTTGTTGGAATGTCTGTCCTGTGGTGCTAGGATGCAGTAAGTACTGTGCTGCGCTTCTCATGGCCTATCTGCTGTGAGTTGTTGCCTTTCTGTGTTTGCATTTCTGATTGGAGAATTGAACATATAGAAACATACATTTAAGAAATCCTTTCTCAGAGACCATTTTCTGTGGCCATCTGCCTTTGAGTCTTTCACTTTAGATCCAAGCCTATCACGATGGTGACTTCTTTTATGCTCTGGTGCACATGGTTCGAGAAGTTTCCTGTAAACACTGAGTAGCCATTGGGTCGGACCCTGTCCTGTCTCTCGTCTACTCCTCCTGTTACAGGTGGAAGAAGTGACCATGACCCCATGATGTGTTCTACTTGGCAGCAGTCCCTTGTGGACTCTGGGGACATCAGTGTGTTGCTGTTACCTGGTCAGGGTTGATTTCGCGAGTGGTGCTGTGACCCAGTTCTAGTCGGAGTGATGCCCGCATAGACTTGCTGAAGTGCCTGTGGAAGGCCTTACTTGCTGAGGACTGAGCTGCAGGAGCATGTTGTCTGCATCCTTGATTGTTGTTGCTGCTGGTGTAAGGCCTGGTGTGGCTGTAGGTTCTGGCTTCCAGACAAACACCCAGGGTGGAGTGCAGAGGCCCAGGGAAGGGAGTCCCAGAGCTCGCCCTTTTTCGGTTCAAGTATTTAAGCCAAGGCATTTCCTTTCTGTTTAAGCTAGTTGAGTTGGGACCCAAAACATCCTAAGTGATTAACTTCATCTCCATTTTATTTTTAGCAATCCATTAGGTTCTTCCCAGGGAACGTGGGAGTAATTGCAAAATGAGACAAAATAATACCGTTACATTAAACGGGCAGTGTGTTGGTGTTGACTGACAACTACTCACTCCTAGCAATCAGCAGAGCATGATTTGGTCTTCAAAGATAGGAGGAGAAAGTGTTTTGCTTTCAGATTCTCTCTTTCTCTTCCAAAGATTTTTTCTTTTAATTAACCCACTTGGGCTGTGAATGCTGAAAAGGGTCTTAGGCAACTGGCATGAAACCATTCCTTGGTACAGGTGTCTACTCAGCAATGTGGGTGTGCTTTTTGTGTGTTCTTGGAAGTCTATACCTGCACTTTAAATTCCTTGTGCTTTTGTTTTTGAAAAACTAATAGGAATATTTTAAATATAAAACATAAAGCACAACATAACCATTCATGTGTATCTCTCCACCACACACTCAAGAAATGGAATGTTTCCCAGTTCCACTGAAAGGTTGAAGGCACTTTTCCCAGGGTACTCCTTCGGAAGGTGCTCCTCCCAGGGCATTCCTCCTGATGGCATTTCTGCTTAAGGCACTCCTCCCAATGGCTCTCCTCCTAGGGTACTTCTCCTGAGCCTACTCCTCCCGAAGGCATTCCTCCCAGTGCATTCCTCCTGATGGCGCTCCTCCCAGTGGCACTTCTCCCAGGGCATTTCTCCTGAGGGCGCTTCTCCCAGGATACTCTTCCCAACAGTGCTTCTCCCAACTGTGCTCCTCCCAATGGCACTCCTTCCCATAGAGCTCCTCTCAGTTGCGCTCCTCCCAAGGGTGCTCCTTCTGAGGATAGTGTGCTCCCTCCCTCAAGGACCTGTCCTGGCTTTAGTCTTCATTATTTCCATGCATTTGTTTTTACTTTTATCACATGTGTACTGTATGATTTTTGTGTGCTTTTAAATTTTGGGTAAATGTAGATGCTGTGTGCATTGCTGTTTAAAATCACAAGGGCTTTTAGAATAAATTCAGCATCACTGCAAGAGACTACATGTTTGTTCTTAGACACTTGTCAGAAGATCTGTCATTGGCATCCTGGTGATCTGTTGCTGAGTTTGAACCTGCATGCTTTCTCTGGAGCTTGGTTTGTCATCAAAGCCACTGTCTACACCGGCGTTGCTCTCCTGTGCAGGGGTGCATTGTGCAGGATACTTTCAGTTCAACTGTGTCATCAACGAGCTTTTCAAAGTGCGTGCTGTCCTACGTAAGTAGCCCTATTTACCCTGTTGCCTGAATGATAGTTTTGGGAAACTTAAGATAAATCTATGCATTAAATTAGCCATCATGCCTACAAAATTCACTTCTGTTCTCTCTAAACTTGCCATTGTGTCATTTGGTTGTGTTGTACTGGCAGCAATAGCTACAGGAGAGACCTCCATCCCTATGCACTGTGAGACTACAACTTGAATTGGTCCTGTCCTATCGCTTGGGAGCCTCTGGGAAATTGCCCTTGTACCCTGATTTCCTTTGTGTCCTACGTTGAGTCTTAGAAATCATTTTGTATCCTGCTTCTGCCTGAAATGTGTCTTTAGTCATTTAGATTTTGCATCCAAATAACTCCATTTTTCGCTGTTGGAGGACTCCTGTTACCCTTTGTTCTTGGCTGGAGTGATCCCTCTAGGAAATCTGATAGTCAGTTCTATTCAGAAGTCTTTAATCCTTTCTGCGTGGGAACTCAAGATTACTGATAAATTGTCAAAAAGAGAAAGATTTACCACAGTAGGAGAATTTCCATTTTTTCTGTAGTGTTGTTTTTGCTTAACTATCTGACACTGGAAAAACAGTAAACTCGAAAGATTTTTTTCCCCCTTAATTCATACATATATCTATGTTTCAGGAAGGAAAACAGTAACATCTTTTGTTGAAATTGAGTTTTAGGGTTTTGTGCTATGTGCTTGCATCTGTTGTTGTGTAATGTGTTTTATGTCTCCATTTTCTTCTTTTAACAACCTCAGTGTTTTGCTTGGTTTTAAGGGGAAAAACCTAGTACATTTTCTTTGGAAAACATCAGTTCAGTGAAGTGATACTACTCTATTTTTGTTTCATGTGGACTGGCATCTTCTTATTACCATTTATATGTAAAAGAACTTGTGGGCTTGGGTTGCTGTCAGGCTACTGCATGACACACTGCCTTTGTGGAGGGCAGCCCACAGGTGAGGGAGCTTCTAGACAGTGACTCAGGTCTGTTTATTAGGGCTTACTCTCCGCACCCTTGTTGACTTGACAGTACTGGTCATAGACCACTTAGTCTGGGAAAGCAATACACAGAACATCTGACCTGGTGCAAATGATCTAGAGGGGTAATAAATGTTTTCTTCCCTCTATTCTGTGGCTGAGGGAATTAGAAAAGGAGACTTGTTCTTTGCAAGTATTATAGAGGGTGAATACACATTTGTGAAAGTAAATTTTTTGGGAAAGAATGCACAGCAGTGGAATGTATGCCATTTGTAAACAGTTTGGATTTCCCAGTTTGTGTAGGGATCCCTCTGTGCCTTCGGCCCACTACTTTGTGAGGAAGGCAGGAACTGTGGCCTGCCTTGCAGCTCAGGTTACTGCTCCAACCTTTCAGGAGGTATTAACAGGCTTCCTTGCTGCCTGGGCCTCTGCTTAACCCTCAGCACAACTGAGGTAGGGAAGTCCTGGAAGCTTCTGTTGTGTCTATTTTGCTTCCTTCTAACTAGTCACACAAATCAACATATCAATATTTAGAATGGAAATTTGCTGTAAGACTCAATCAAGAATTCCTAAGTTGTGATGGGTGGGAACATATATGAAGAAATTTAATGCTTGATTATGTCTTATTTCATCCGGTAACAGATGCCGTCTCAGTTTTATGAATGAATGCTAATCCCCTGATGAAAGCTTCTCACCCTCTTTTTTTTTTTTTAATTGCTTCTCAAATCAATTAGAAAGAATTAGTCTGGTCTATGGAGTTAGGTGTCCCCCTCTGTAAAATGGAAGCTCTACTAAATGGTGTGTGCAGAGAGACCATCTGTCTCGCTCGCCATCTGACCCATCCTTAAATGTGATGGTATCCCCATTGTGTTACTCCACAGTGGTCTCGAGGTAAAGCTGGAGAAGTCCTGTACATCTGTCTTCTCTGCTCCTGTGGAGTCTGTTGACTGAAGAATTTAGGCCACAGTCTAACTTCATTGTTACTATAATTTGATTGCATTTTGATGATCATTTGGAATAACAACCATTCAGTTGTATTTGTTCAGAGCATCAAGAAAATCTCTTTTAACACTATTCTCAGCAACTTTTAAAAATAACTGTTACAGAAATAATATGTACTTGTGAGGAAAATGTAGAAAATGCAGATAAACATAAAGACAATTTACCATCCATACATGGCTGTTGCCAGCTTTGACTAATGTGATGGTCTCACAGACATCAAGTGTATGTTCAAGAAGGAAGTCCATGCCGGTGCCTGGCTTGTGACTGACCGCAGTGATATGGTGCCAGTAGCTCTTGACTGGCGTGTTGTCTGGTGGACTGAATGTCTGCTGAACTGCACATGTATGCTTCTCCTGGCTGTGACCATTTTATTACAGAGTAAAGGAAGGTGCCTCTTGACATAGAAACTGGCCTATTCTGGTTAGCTTGTTTGCACTGACTTTCAGGGAGTGGCTTTCTTGTGCAGGGCATGTTTCTATGCAAGAATGAATTTTGTTTTTCATTCTTATTGACAGGATCATACAAAAGGAACTGCTATGAAAAAAGAATAGAAGAATAACACACTTTTAACAGAAATGCCTTCTATTCCACTCATGGAAAGAGGAAAGTCAAGTCGCCAGCGACTGTGTGGTCATGACCAAGGGTCCCTCCTGGGTTGTTAGAAGTCACTGTTAACATAGTGAATCTGCCCTTGCCACGTTCCCTCTCATGTGCCTCCCCCACTCTCTGCTCCCTGCCCTGTCCTGTCCCAGCTCGGGTCACTTAACCACACTGCACTGCAGAGCTTATGGAAATCTGCACTAACTCAGGTCTTGCTGACAACGCCACTTGAGCACTTTTGTCCCTCAGTTTATGGAAACTTGTGATATATTGTCTGGTTTTCAAATCATCACACAGCACAGGTTCATGTGAGCCACTGATACCTCCCTGGCCCCGAAGTATTTGTCCTTTGTGCTGTTTTGATAATTCTGAGCATTTGTTCACTGGTTTCCTTCCCTGACAATCAGGATAAGTTAAGTATGCCAAAGCCCTCTTAACTCCTGGTGGGCTTCTCTTAGGTGTCTGTGCTCA